ATCCCCACAGGCCCCCCTACACGCCAACCCCGCCCGAATCCCGCACCCCCCGACACGTTAAGGCCTTTGCACAAACGCATCAAGCCCGTTCGGGGCTGTTCATTGAATGCACGTTGAACGCGTTCAAAAAACGAACCTGGAACCTGTGTTCATTGAATGTGTGGCAACACGGCCATCCCCCAACATTTTTGAGGCACCTGGGTAACACTCATGTTCATATTCATTCGAAATGTTGGCCAATGGCAAGTGGTGCAAGTAGGCCCATAATCTTAAAGCACCAATACACGGCCTCAGCCTTGTCCCAAAAAAAAAAACAAGCTTTGGCTGTGATTGCAGTTGGATACACTTTTTGGAGTACTCCGTGTGAGTCTGCCCTCAGTGAGGGCACTTTGGCAGAACGAAGAACAAGGGGAGCACTACTGTCAGACAAAAAAAAAGAACAAAAAAAAAAAGCCAACCAAGTTTTGTTGTATAATCAACTTCAACCCAAGGGCCTAGCTCAATGGGTACACCCATGAACTGTTGAAATACAGACCTGTGTTCGAATCCAGATGATGGAATTTGATGAGTAAAACCAAGTACTAATGAATTGCCTGGGGCCGGTCAGCTCAATGATAATATCTCAAGGCCGTCGCCCTTTTAAAAAAAAATAATCAACTTCGTTAGCTTAGCATCGTAATGATGAACACAACACGAAAGAGAGCATCATGACACAAGACGGGACAGAGTCACAGAGGGAATCAGCAGTCAGAAAGAAGGAGGAGAGGGATAGACAAGACGATAGACATTAAACCGAACGCGACTTCATTCGTCGTCGTTGAAATATCGTAAATATCCAGGACGAATGTACGGCGGGTGACCCTACCGGTTTCGGCTGGCCGCCGTGACCAGCTTCATCAGGGGTCGTTGTTGGTCGGAAAAACAGCCTATCTCTTTTTTATACATAGGAACTAAGAAAGAACTGCTGGAAATAGTCTTGCCTACGTCTGCAGCCTATGAATGAAACTAGACAGCTATCCGACCCAGAACATCTTCGGTAGGCTTCTAGAAGAACTAAAACAGCTATCAAAAGATCTTCTATTCCACTGCTCCACTGCCGCGTCCGCATCTCCTCAAAAACCATCCAAGTTCATTCAAGTAACTGTTACTCCAATCAAAAAATAGTTCGCTGTTCGAAAACGCGTTCTATGATCCTAGGGAAAAAAGTTCTGCGGGGGCGGGTCCAGGGTTCAAGGCCCGGACTGCGAAAAAGGCTGTCATACCGCCGCTTCTTCACTTATCCCAAAACAGGTCCAAAAACATTCAAGCATTCTCCGTCCTAATTCATTTAGGTATCCTCAATTGATGGATCCAAGGTTCGAGACCTGAGTTACGGTTGATCTATCCTAAAAAAGTCGTGAAGAGTAAAGGTTCCCCTAGTATACCATACGTCCTCAACCAGCTCTCTTGACTTCATAAAAACACCATATCAATAGAAAACAGAAATAATAGAAAGGATAAAAGGAGAGAAGAAAGAAGAAGAAGAAGAACCTTCCGAATCAGTTATCCCAGCCGGTCTGAACAGGTAACCATTCGCCCCACAACCCAGTAAATTTCCTAGAAAAGCTTATCAATGCATTATCGAAAAATGCATCAGGGTATCCTCTCCGCCAGAGCTCGACCTTGAGGGTAAATAGAGAGTGAATTTCGGTGCCACGAATAGAAGAGAAGACTCGCGGCCGATGAAGAAAGGAACCTATTACTGCCATTTTCTGCCGTTTGCTGGAGTAGGAGCTGTAATCTTGTATACTCTGAAAAGTCAAACGGGGGTTGTTCCAATTGATTTGGTTCTTATGAGTCGGAAAACAGGCAAGTCCCTTGACGCCCGCCAAAATCCTAATAATGCATCCAAGGAATTCCCAGCATTGCTCATCGTTGGTTTTTTCCGAAGTCAACTGCTCATCGTAACTGCTGCTGAATTGCTGTATCAGCCATTGCCCTCTCCTAGCAGAATTGCTGCAATCCTTCTTGGCCGTGAAAGTAGTTGGATTCTTTTTTTTTTTTTTTTTTTTTTTTTCTTTTTTTTTTTTTTTTTTTTTATTTTTAAGGGAAGGGTTCTCGAGCATCGTTTTTTTCCCTCTCGCTCTGGATGACTCTCAGTTTTTATTTTTTTCAGTTTTCTTGGTTTTGGTACTTGCCTTGTCCATTGGTTGTTGTCGTTTCCCTGCCTTATGTGCTGGTGTGTTGTCTGCTTTTTTTTTTTTTTTTTTTTTTTTTTTTTTTTTTTTTTTTTTGATATTTTATTGATTTTTTTTTAATTTTAAATCTCTTACTTTTTTATTAGGGCCCAGTGCCCAAGGCAACATACAACATATGAAAAGAGTTTCAGATTCAGGGGTCGCAAGGTTCTCCAATCCTTCTCTGTGAGGTGGAGCCCCTCCCCTGTAGCCAAAGGCAGGAGTTCAGTAAAAAAATTACAAGCTTTCAAAAATAACTACAATTAATTAAAAAACTAAAGTAATGCCTACTAATTAGCAATACCTACAATACCGGAATTGTAAAACAAGGAGGAAACTGCCAACATGGCGATATCTACAACTATTGTCTACGACTTTACCATTACAAGCTAGGAGAATGTCTGCGTAACAGAAGTTACTGCAGAAAAGGTTCCTGAAAGAATAGAAGGCTGGCAAATCATATCAAGAAAAAACTTGAATGGAGATCCACTGCTGAGGCCCCTGTGAGTTGATCCCATTATGATGATGTCCTTAGAAAAGGTCCAAACCGGAAGTCTCCAGTGCACGTGTCAATTGTGGCCAAAGAAGGGCAAGCCGCCCAATGCTTCTGAAACCATGACACCCCAGCTCTCAGACTCATGGGCTTTCCAAGTCGCTGTTTCCAGTCTAGGTAGATGATATGGCGTAAATCCTTTTTGATTATGTACAGTACTTGCTGCGTCGAGGGCGTTTCGTTGGATAGTATCACTCCATTTCTCTGCCTCCGTAAGTGCCAGAGCACCGTGACTCTGAGTGTTTCATATACATACGCCCGGGGCTTAGAAAGCCTCAGTACCACTGTGCCTAGTAAGATAGATGCAGTTGACCACATATCTCCCCATTGCAAAGGCAATGGGGAGTGCTCATTAAAAAGTGCCCAAACATCTCCGGCATTTATGCATGAGGTCCATATATGATGTTGATCTTCCACAATGTGTGGGATTGAACATGCTTTACAGAAAGGCGAACCCTGTTTTCGGCGGCGATACAGAACTGCAGCAGTAGGAATGGCATTGTGCAGGGTTTGCCAGAGCAGGCCAGCATGTTTGGCTACCCGCAAAGAAGGGAGCAGTTGCCAAAAAAACGTTAGCCTATCAGTCTGCAGAGTATATCCAAGTGTTCGCCATCTTTTAACAATGCCCCAATCGACATCCACTTCCGGTAAGAGCATCAAATATGTCAGTCTGACAGAATGCTGTGTTAGTGTTATAGCACTGTTTCGCGGATCCACCAAATACCAATCTCTGGGGTCAAGCATTAAGTCCTTGGAGGCTGTTTGAAGTCTGTAGGGGAGGTAAGTGAC